GAATAGTTACTTGTTATTGTAATTTTGTATCTTTTCAGTTAATCGTCAAATATCCTATCATATCTTGTTAGATTCAGCATTGTCCACATATTTATGGTTTTATGATATTTTGGTTTTACTAAACTCTGTGTGAACGCTGTTCTAATGTGTTTGATTTTTGTGGCCCTGATAGTCTTACGCATTAACAACGCCACAAAGGTTAAAGGTCATTCTCCGTTTGTTCCTGGTGTGATAAAAATTATCTGACAAAAATATTTTTAAGTGTGAAAACATTTTTATGTGTAATGAAAGTTCTTTTTCCTGTGATAAAAATTACGTGACTACAAGTATATGGTTTTTTTTCAATCATGGGAAAAAATAGATTTATAGTGAGAATATTTTATGTCCTGAAAAAAGGTCGCCCAGACAGAGTGATTTCATGTTCTGCAAATATTTCCGCTTCGGCCTGTAATACTTTAGGGCCGGACATATTGAAATGCCACTTTTAAGCGAGTTAAGCCAGATTCTTTTCGGATTGCAAGTTTTTAAGAATTTTTCACCACCACGAAAGAAATGATTGGCATCGTAGAATATCTGGAAATGTCTGGTTGGACCCATTAATTTGTGAAAGATATTATTGATTTAAACAAACACACATTACATGTATTTAATAAAATTCTGACATAACAACACCTGTATCGCGTTAATGAGCCATCAAATTTTGATGCGCTTTTACTAGGTCAAGGGCAATAACTCAAATTTCGTTGATCGAAAAAACGTCAAATTCAATCTTGACCAAGATCTCATCATTATACATGATCATTATGATTGATCACACCAAATTTCATGAAAATCGGATGAAAATTGTAGTCTCTTTTGTAGTTTTTCTTAAGTCAAGGGCAATTACTCAAAAACCGTTCATAGAAAGATAGCCAAATTCGATCTTGTCAAAGATCTCATCATTTTAAATACCCACACCAAATTTCATTTAAATTGGATGAAAACTGTTGTCTCTATTGCATTCACAAGCCAATCAAGGGTGAACGGACCAACGAACATTATAATGTGGGCTTATAGAAATTATCAAAAACAGCGATCCTTTAGATTGTGATCCATTCCCATCTAAAAACAATCTAATCAAAATTAAGATTACAATTCCGTATCTTTATTGTTTTCAGATATTGTAATCTGTTAAGTTTTCTACCAAAACCCTGCCCCAAGGTGTACATGTATTTTCAACCAATCAAGGCGTGTCATGCAAAACTTGAATCTTTATTGAAAAATGAATTGTGGGATATTGAAACCTAAAGTAGAGCAATATGACAGCCTCTTTGGGTTTCGCTATCCCACAATTCATTATCAAGATTCGGGTTTTGCATGACAAGCTTTGATTGGTTTAAAATAACATCATAAGGAAGGGCCTTTGGTAAAAAATAATAATTAGATTACATCGATAAAAAATGACATGTTTGAGAACTGATAGGGTCAGATTTGTTGGTGAGAACTGATAGGGTCAGATTTGTTGGGTCGCATAGAACTATGCTTGGGACAATGGCTATTTTATATGTTCAGATTGTATAGTTTCTCCAAAGCTCTACATAGGCATTTGACAATCAAATAACAAGTCTATGTATCTCTTTTCTTATATTTTTTTTCTTTTTTAATTTTTATCTAATATCTATATAATACAATATATGTACATATATATAAAGATAGATGAGAATCTGAAATGAGAAAAAGTCATAATTTCATAGGAGTTGTAATTTATGCGGAATATTTCTAAGATACCATAATGAATACAAATATATTGATTTGAATATACTTAAAAATTCATATGACAATATGCCAGAGCTGTAACATTAAGAGAAATAAGCCTTAAAGGGATTGCAAAAAAGTTTTCTAAACTTTTTATGTGTTTCCGAGACACTGATAGTATCAATTAGCACCATTCCAATTTTCATTCCGACGTCTGTGGTTCCTGCAATTCCACTAAAACAACGCGTTTTAGGATGTTACTTGAAGAGAACTGCACAGATATCAATAGCAGTTCTCCTCCAGTGATGTCATAAAACATGTTAGTTTTAGTGGAATTGCAAAAAAACCACAGACGTCAGAATGAAAATTGAAATGGTGCAAATTCGGAGCTATCCCCCATTCACAAAAATTTTTTTGACTATCCCTTTCAGTTAAACTTTTGCAATTTTCGAACAAATGTTTATGCCAAACCGTTTCCACAATTTTCATTACAGTAGGTATTAAGGTATTTAGAAATGGTTCCCAATAATTACAAAAATTCAAAAAATTGAGAAAAAAATACAAACTGTAAAAGCCAAAAAATAGGAAAGAATAATGTTAATTATAAATGAAAAATATTTAAAAAAAAAAAAACAAGAAAAATTGACAGAATACATCCGAAGTAATTTAATAAAATCATAAAGATTAGGTTAATGAATTTTGTGCAATTATATGCATTAATATTTATATTGAGAAAACTGTGACTGTTTACAAAGCAATAATTGGTACATCAGTTCACTGAAATAGAGAAACGGATTAGGATATTGGTTCCTGAAATAAAATGAACAGAATGATTCCTGACAATGAGTCTTTGGTACCAACATAATTGTTCATTGATCACAGATATTGCACTTTGTCTAATATTTACAGGATATGATGTATCAATATACATAATGGGACATCACAGCAAATTATTTCTTTAGGTACATATTAAACACACTAACATTATCCTTATTTTTAAGTCTTCCTTGTAACTTTTTCACAAACCCTAGATCGCTTTTCAATCACACAAGTCCAAATATAAAGTTCTTAAAACTCAAAACTTGTTAGCATTTTTCTATATTTTAAGCACACTGTGTGAAATCAACATATAAAACACAATTACATAATACATTGTCCATAGAAAAAACAGACAGCAATCATTCTACTAATTGGTGAAGAAGTTATAGTCATTCTCCACTAAGCTAACTGAATTACTTTCCTCATTAGAGCTATGCATTACTTTGAGCAATACCTTTACACATGGAACAAACCTCCCAATGAAACTAAGTGGTAACTTCATAATCTTACACTAGGTATTCCTTAAAATTACATCAACCAATCCTTCATTAAATTTTGTAGGTAACTTCTCATTCTTACTTTTGGTAACTTCTGAAAGTTAGTACCACAAGGGACAATATTTAAAAGAATGATATTGTGAGTGATAACTAACTTTCGGCATCTTTTTTTCCTCAAAACTGGTTGGTAACTTCTTGTTCTTACTTTTGGTAACTTCTGAAAGTTAGTATCACAAGTGGACAATATTTGAAACAGTGATAACTAACTTTCAGCATCTTTTTTCCTCAAAACTGGCTGGTAACTTCTTGTTCTTACTTTTGGTAACTTCTGAAAGTTGGTACCACAAGTGGATAATATTTGAAAGAGTGATATCTTTTCCACAAAATTTTCTGGTAGCTTTCCTTACTTTTGTTAACTTTTGGACAATATTTGGAAGAATGATATTGTGAGTGATAACTTTCGGCATCTTTTTCCTGAAAACTTGTTGGTAACTTTTCATCCTTACTTATGGTAACTTTTGAAAGTTAGTATCACAAGGGACAATATTTGAATAATGAGTAATATTGTGAGTGATAACTAACTTTCGGCATCTTTTTCCTGAAAACTTGTTGGTAACTTTTCATCCTTACTTATGGTAACTTTTGAAAGTTAGTATCACAAGGGACAATATTTGAATAATGAGTAATATTGTGAGTGATAACTAACTTTCAGCATCTTTTTCCTGAAAACTTGTTGGTAACTTTTCATCTTTACTTTTGGTAACTTTATTCATCTGCTGGTGACAATCCAATAAAGTGATTACTTTCCTTCTGTTTTAACTTGAAAGTTAATATCACAAGAGACAATATTTTTGATATCAAATATTGTAAGTGACAATTAACTTTCAAAAATGAATCATCTTCTCAAAGTTATCACTAGAGGTGTAAGTGACAACCAACTTTCCTGTTACTTCTTCTCTGAACTTCTTCAAAATTTACATCCATAAAAACCTGAACTACCCTTGTCTTTCAACAAGTCGTATATTTTGATCAAAAATTGTGTATCTTGTATTGCTTGATGACTAACTTCTCTGGATCTTTGGTAATACAGACTTACTTACAGATTTATCCAGATAAACAGGAACAGGTGAAACTAAGAACAGGGCTGCTAAAACAGGAACTGGCAAAAATTAACTTACTGGAACATCAACATCAATTAAATCTGTTGGAACAGAGACAGGCTAACCATACTGAAGCAGGAACAGATTAAACCAAGGCTCAAATTACTGGAATCTTGACAAGCTTACTTTACTGGAACAGGCTGAACTGGAACTAGATTAACTTGACACGGAACAAGGAATAGCAGGCTGAACTTAGAACAGGAACAAACTTAACATACTGGTTAACTTGACTGGAACAGACTGCACTGGCCCTTAAGAGTACTGTACTGAACTGACCTGGAACAAGTCAACAACTGGAACAGGCTGAACTGCAAAGCAAACTGGAACACTGTGCACTTAGAAACGGCTCTTACTTAGGGAACTTTCGGAACTTTATATCCACTTGTTTGGACTCTGTGGTCTTGAACTGTTCTGATTATGGAACTTACATGAAAGGACACTAGCGAATACAAGATACAAAATTTCGATTCAATCGACATCTGGAATCCTATTTACTACCCAACAGTCAGGAACCCAGATTTTCACTTACAGATTTGGCTGCAGACCAACCACCTCTATGGTTTAAGACATCATACAGCAATCAAAACTATCCTACTCTTCTTGGGAAATCCTCCAATCCATCAAAAGAGCTCCAAGAGAAGCCTTGCATATATTCTCTTTTGTGATCATCCTGAATCCTGATCACCTCCATCACCATCTTCCTTGAAACTGACTCCTCCTTACTATTACTATCACAACCATTGATTTGAGCACTACCTTAGCAAATTAGGGGGAACATTTAGACAAAGGATCAGAGAGCTTGGATAGCAGTATTACTAGCTTTACAGTCTAATTTAGATTTATCTGCATTGAGGGCAGCACCCTTTTCTTCAAGAAACGCCATGCATTGGTCTACATCTTGGAAGGCCAACTCATCTGCGATATATTGCAGCGCAAGAAGTGGACGATACCTACACATTCAATGTAACCACACCACAAACGGACAATGAAAAAGAAAATGAGAAAAAAAACATTAATTCATGAGTAGTACAGTGGAAAAAATAAGCATCCATTACTTACCAGGAATGAAATTTTTCAAATCAAATTCAAAATATGAAGCAATTGATCACTAACATTCAGTCCTCTCGATGCAAGTTACATAGATGACTTTTTTCCAAATAGCTCGGGATTTTTTTTACCATAAAAGTTGCTTGAAATTAAGAATTTTTGAGGCCAATTTGATAAGAAAAGTGCAAAAAAAGAAAATTATTTGGTGGAACCAATATACGTACGATTTTACAATGGCTTTAACTGCTGTCTTTCTCACTCTTTCAACAAACCAGTCCATGAGAAAACCTGACATTCTAGGTGCTGTACGGTATAACTTGAAGAAATTGTGGTAATTGTTACAGGCCCATGCTGACCGCACTTTTAAAGCATGTTTAATACACACATCTAGGTGATCTGCTTTGCTTAATAAGGATAAAGCTGTGGTCATATCTGAAATAATGATAATTCTTATATCAATAATATTATAAATTGTCAACAGCTTACTGATGTTCATGAATGGAACTACATTTTCAATATCTTCAGTATTTTGATGATATCAAGCGGCCCATAGCAACAGGGGTCAAGGTTGAAGCAACCATGTCGACCCAAATCATCACTGCAACTTAACACCAATCAACTTAGTGTTTCTTTTATTTGAGGTAGTGATAGTAATCTTTTGATGTGAACAATTCCTCTCCCTACTTCTGCAATCTCTGACCTTCCTTCACTCCTGATATATTGGAATGAAATGAATTGAGTTTTTACTTTTCTGCACCATGTTGGCTAATGCAAATGAGCAACGTCAATCAGGGTGCAGAAATTTTGCCGGGACAGCGGCATTGGCCTTTTCTTTTTCGATTTCCAACTGTTGAATTATCTTTAACGTGCATAGTCTATAGCACACAGGGCCTCAGTTTATTGTCCCAATCTGAACGACACAACGCTTTCCAGATATATTGAAGAAAATCATACCTAATGAATTGGAAGTAAAAATATAGTATAAAATTCTGTAGGCTGTAAATTCTACTTTGTTTCCCTTATTGCCCTCCTGATATAAAAGTTTGAGCTGTGTTTGACATTGATTAAACTCTTCATGATCAGCCTGAAATATAATACGAGCAGTGAGGTATTTAATCATAATGGCAATGGTTACATTCTTATATTTCAGCCATTTCTTTATCTACAGTATTCTCTAATCATGGAATGCAGCATTTTGATTTGATATTTTGCCAGCGAATACAACCAATCAGAGCTCTCGACAGAAAGGCTGTAAACAGCATGGCTCGTGTTCACATACTTACTGACACAGACAAAAAGATATCAACCATGAAACTTACCTTTTCCATTGCTATTCTAGCATGTGTTTCATAAACCTTGACTGTGAACTCATCTCTAATGCCCTGAACCTGAAAAATTGAAAACGGTCACTGATGGGTATATCAGAACTGAAAGACAACTTATGATATAGCATATCTACAACTATATTTGCTCAACTATATTGAAACTATACATGCCAGTGTGGTTTTTGTTGGCTGATTTGATTTGGTTTCAATTTGCTAGTAACATTTGGCTCTTTGATTAGATTAGCAGCTGTCTACTAATGCAAAATTTGATAGTGGCAATATGGCTGCCTCCGCTGAAAGTCATCTATTTTGATTTTTTATTATTATTGATGAACTTCCACAAGCCGCCATGTTTAAAAAGTCTAATCTGATCGCCTAATCACCTTCTGGGACAGTTAGTTGCAATCTCTTTTAATTCTTGAAGTATAGCAAAAAAGACAATCTTGTAAAACTCGTAGACATGGCTCCTATACTGCTGAAAGAGCACAAGGACTTATAATTTTAAATATGACTATACTTTACACAGGGATTGAAGGGAAATGCCTGAGGGTACTCAGCGCTTACAGGTTTCAATTAATCTGATACAAATTAAAGTCAACATACTGTTAAATCTTGTCGAATAGACTTCAACTGTTCACAAGCAAAATGATAGTTTTGAGGATTTTCTTTCCATCTCTTCTGCACCATAACTAAGGATTTCTTCAAAACCTCTACAGGTCTAATAGATTTGGCATCGGGAGCCTACAAACAAAACAAATGTCAGATAAGTGGACTCACATTATCACAAGTTGAGAAACCTAGTTGCAGAGTGGAACCATGATACTGTTTCACACACAAAAATTCAGATCGATTTCTGTTGTAAGTTTGTTATATCTCAAGACATTCCACAAATACAAAAAAACATTTTTTTTAACAAACAGATCCTTGGTATTCTGGAAGGATTAGCATCAAGGCCTGATTTCATGGATCAACTTTTATTTTCAAATGGATTGTAAGAATAATCAAAAGTTAATATACTTAGTAAAGCATAGAAACTCAATATTTTGATTGAACTATATCTATTTAGCATTCTCCTTTCCATTAACATTTGTATAACAGATGAATGGTACACATTGAATGCAACTAAATTTGCTCTTTTATTTCTGACAGACTTAAACTTGAGTTGAAATGAATGGAGTTTTCTATCTCCTACTTTTTTATCACCTTTAGACAATCAATACCCTGCAGTGAGCAATAAGAGAAATTTTATAAGGAAAGCCGCATCAGTCCTAATATTTCATTTCCATTTTTTGAGAGATCTTTAACATGCACAGCCTGTACCACACAGGGCCTCCATTTACTGTTTTATCTGAACAATAAGATGCTATATTGTCATTCACCCGTATGTTTTTGAGGAAGCATTATCTCGAAGGGAACTTTCAGGTTAGAGGTTTGAATATAAAATCAAGACATGTAACTTGCAAACTGGTTATAATAGGCCATTAAAAAGGGCTATCTATCTAAATAATATTGTGTTCTATTACTTACACTGGTTAATCGGAGGTATTTCTTTTCTAGATCAAGACAGGTACCAACTATTTCAAAACTTCCTAAATCAGCATCATTACTATCTGTATTCTGAAAATGAAAAAAATGACGCGGGATAAAGATTATTTCTTCAACTGCATTCACGGTACGGTTTTTAATTGTACAAGAACCTTATATCAGACTAATTTTACAAATAGCAAATATCTTGGACAATATGCTATGTCTTCAAAATGTTAAAGTTGTTTACATTTACAAAGCTCTTTACACTTTTGTAACTAGTTGTTAAATACTTACAAATGTGTTAAATACCGGTACTTACAAAGTTGTGTTAAATACTTACAAAGTTGTACTTACGAGGTTGTAAGCTACTTACGAGGTTGTAAGCTACTTACGAGGTTGTAAGCTACTTACGAGGTTGTAAGCTACTTACGAGGTTGTAAGCTACTTACGAGGTTGTAAGCTACTTACAAAGTTGTAAGCTACTTACAAAGTTGTAAGCTACTTACAAAGTTGTAAACTACTTACAAAGCTGTTAAATACTTACAAAGCTGTTAAATACTTACAAATTGATAAATACTTACAAAATTGTTTATCCCCATGGTTATTTTCTGGCGTGGTTTCTTACTGGTATTTTTTGTTTCATTATCTAAATGGTCACCAAATCTAGCTGCCCTCTTCTGCATTCGTGATGCTTTGTCAGGGTCATGAAAGTTCATTCTATAAAAAAAAATATCAGAAATAATAAACTTAGTCTTGAAAATTTTCAGATTTCCAGGCTTTTTGGTATAAAGCAGCAAGATTCTGAAAAAGCTTACCCTTTTAAACCACTCTTTAGGTGAACACCCTTTTTGATGTTGGAATCAGTTTTATCATTGTCAGCACCACGCCCTCGACCTTTACCCCCACGCCCTCTATTCTGTTTACCACGAGTACCACTATTAAATCTTCCTTTTTTACTCATTTTGTCATCATCACTTCTATCTGAACTAGACCTACAAAATGATGCAGGTAATATATAGACCTTGAAATATTTGAAAGAAACATGTTCTTTTTAAAGGTATACTACCTCTTATGACAAAAATCTTGGTTAAAATGAATCTTTGTTCATCATAGGTCTATAAAAATAAGTAATAATCCATTAAATTATGTAGTTACAAGCATTACTTAGAAGCGTGATTGATAATTACTCAGTTTTATATCTTATATACAGATTCTATTATTTAGTCTTGGTACCTGGTTGAGACCAACTGATGAATAAGCTTATATAATCTTATTGACCAAGTTTGAGACTTTAAATTCAATGTCCATTCTAAGAGGTAGTATCCCTTTAAGCAATAAAGAAAATTTGTTCTGGTACTCATTTTGGTATGACAGAAAAAGCCATAGCATTGTTTAAATTAGTGCCAAAAGATTTATTTAGCATTCTCCTTTCCATTTCATTTGTATAACAAATTAATGGTACACATTGAATGCATTTGCCAAAAACACCAGATGTGGTTTGACATTAGCTTAAATGGGGCAAACTTCTCCTGAATGTTCTTTTAATATTTTACATGGGTCAGAATTAGGTCCATAACAAAAAGGGACATAATCCTTTCAAATATTCAACCAATGCCTGGCAAATTACAAGTATAATCTTTCACTTACACTGTTTTTAATATTTGACAGTTTGCAATGGGGGAAATTTGAACAGTGGTAATATCAAAATTGTTTCAATTTCGAACTGTGAAAGAAACTGTAGTGTATGACATCTTGGCCTATTATTGCCATGCAACTCCCTCCTACATGCATCACTGACATGGGAATCACCTAGGTAATACATACCCTCGTCTTTTGTTGAATTTTCTAGGTGATCTTCTACGTCTGTGTGGTGATCTAGAACGTGATCTAGTTGATCTGGTACGGGATCTAGATCGAGAACGTGATCTCGATCTACTTGATGAACTGAAAGATCGGGACCTAGAATGACGATATGTTGGTACTCTGTCACCACTGTATATTCCACGACCTTTACTTGCTGGGGTCATAGCTCCACGACCCCTTCCACCTCCTCTACCTCTCATTCTAGTAGCAAACGTCTCACCCACACCCCAACGACTTTTTCTTGGTGTAAGTTTAGGCTTGGGACCATCAATACTGTAAATCAGAAATTCAAATTTTTCAAAATGAAGATTTTATCACAATGTAAATACTGAGGAAAATTCTGAAGGTTACACCTAGTCTGAAGCCAAGTTTGATCCCCAGACCATAGTATGATGAACTCATGGAGTCACAATGATTACCCTCAATTAAGAAAATTCAAGTCCAAATATAAAGTTTATATAACAAATAGAAAAAAAAACTTAATGAATGTTTAACACAATAATGTTACAAACCTTGGAAGAGGTTCATTCTCCCAATCTATACTCCAAGCATCTCCTGATTTAAAAACCTCTGTTAAACGTTCCTTTAAAATAGATTCTATCTGATCTTTATGACTTTCATGTGCAAATGTAGCAAAAGCCTTTTGAACGTACTTCCTGAAAAAGATAACATGCCATTAAACTCTTAACCCTACAACAAGTTGATTTTGTTGTTAGATTTTAAAACTTAAAATGAGGAGATGCTACCCAACAGAAGCACTGGCCTTGCTTGTCTCTGTGTAAATTTTTTTGGAGCAATAGCAAGTCTTAATACGGTATCTTTATAAGTGCAAAAATACACGAAATTTTCTCTTAGAGAACAATACCTCAGAATTTAAGTATCTTAAAAGCAAACTAATTCTTACTTTAAGGCAGGTGGCCAATCTTCTGATGCAGTGCTTCCAAACATGTTGTCATTGCTGAAAAAAAAAAATTGTCAGTATATTTTCAAATTATGGAGTTAAATGTACCAATAATCATTCATACATGGACAATTCTAAATGTGATTTACATGGGCATTTTGTGATATCAGGTCAAGGCCTATACTCACTGACAGATCATGATACAGACCAAATGATTTATTTCAGGCTTATCAAAATGTCTCTTCGAATACTAAAATGAATCCCTTTATCATCAGATACAGTCTGACTTTATGGAACATTTCAAAGGGAACTTTTACAAAAATGGGAATGACAACCCCATCTTCTTGTATTGTAAACTGCCTTAGTGAAACTTCACACATTTGACCATTATAAAATCAAATTTGATAATGTAAGCTTATTTTTTTGTACATACAAGTATCACTATCTCAGATACTCACTTAGATGGTTGTGGACTAGGTGGTATAGGAATATCTTCTGGGGGTGATGGTTTGTATGGCTGTGGACGATTCTGGTTATTTGGTGTAGAAAACCGCCTACGGTTATTACCACCCTGACTCATAGCATTATTGGGATTTAAATTGTTCTTCTTTGGAATTTGAAACCGGACGCCACCTGCACCAGGAGCTTCTGAAAATTGGATTTAGATCTTCATCAATTCAATTCCATCAGAGATGGTTGGACCAATAAGCCGAATTCCCTACGTATGTTGCTCTGTACCATTCTTGCAGAGTAAACAGCTAAGCATCTGTACATTGAAAACTAACAAGACACAAATACCGCTAATAACCGCTCTCCTCCGCAAACGTGTGAACGAACCTTTATGCTTATGTTTCAGAAATACTGCTTGTGGGATGGCAATGGGTGTAGAGCAAAAATATGGATAGTTTCATTTGCACATTCAGCTAACATCAATCTGAACAAAAAGACCAAAGTGCTTAGAGACTTAACTAATTTCAATAATCAAATTCATGTTTAAACTTCTTATGCTTATTCCCATGATCGTTTTGCCAAATTTTGAAAAATCGCAAATAAATCAAATACTTACGCTTACGGTTGAATTGCTGATTACAGTTCTGATTATTCATGTTCATTCTGTTATTTTCATTATTATTTCCATACATAGGTGGAGGAGGGGGTGGTCGGTTAACAAAATTATTATTATTGAACCGATACTGAAAATAAAATTAAGCCTTATTTCATGTGTGCAAAGACAACAATATCTGTAAAGAACTTGTCAAAAACCAACCCAAATTCTGAAGACCTGTAGACATACATTTTGAAACTTGTAACAAGAATAAGACAAATAATGATATTTGTTTTAAAAGCAAGATTAAGAAAGATAATACTATATTAAAAGCAATTGCTTATCTTAGTCATTTTTTACCACTTAATTATAAGATAAGATAATGCATACCAATACTCACTTAGGTTGCATGCCTTATAAACTACAACTTTGACAAGTCAACAATGCAGAGAACTTGTATTTCAATGTGAATAACATTATCTATATGTTAATTATACAAATCTTAAATTCTTAACAAAAGATCTGGCTAAACGAAATTCAACAAAAAAAAATTTTGTAAAGTTATCCAATAAGTTACAATTGCATCCTACATCTACCAAAATAACTTGCTGCATTCTGTCTCTTTAAATATTCAAGTATGGTAACATTGATAGTCCCTGTAATCCTTATTAAATACAAACTCAAGATAATCCCTTTGAAAGTTGGATTAACTCATGCCAGTGGATAATCTTTTAAGCTAATAAATCAATACAATGCTTACCTCTTGATTAAGCTGTGGATTAAACATACCATTGTTAAAACCATTGTTGTATCTAAAAATAGAATAACACTCGTGATTAGTTCAAATTCAATACAGGTATATCTACGAAACAAAGTTTTAATAACTGAAGCTGAAAAAAAAAAAAGCTTATAAAAAATTATTTGATATTGATCATCAAAAATAGTTACAGGCATGATAATATTTGCAATTCCAAGCGCAGCACTATTAGCTTCCTGCAAATTTAACAAATGTAAGTAACATCTAATGCTTAACAAGGGTCTGATATAACCTAACCATAGGGTTTTGCAAAGTGCAACATTCTTACACACACTATGCAACAGTTCATAAAAAAGCACTAATTACTATGATGACTTTCTTGAGAAACTTACGGTTGTTGAAATGGGAATCTCTGACGATGTGGAAACATGTTAGGACCTTGAAACTGTTGTTGATTATTGAAATAGTTGGAATTCTGATCTTGAGGTGGGGGCGGTGGTGGTGGAATAGCCACTCCTTTGTTCATTACATTATTTTTCATTTTCTGAGGACTAATGTTTGAAGGAGCACCCATAGCTTCCAGTGCTTTACGTGCATGTTCCCATTCTGGTCTTTTATTGCTTCCATCTTGTGGTTGGTTAAACTGCTGTGACCTTTAAATCAAACAGGGTGATGGTTATTAATTATTGTGGTCGTTGTTAGCAAAGCATGTTTTTAATTTTGTCATGAATTGAGACTTAAATATTCTCTAAACCAACTGGGGTCCAACAATTACTAATAGAAAGACTTTAAATTGCTTACACCTAAAGTATCTTTATATCACAAACAACGTATAAGCTGATACAGGCAAGGCAATAGCCTAAACGAGGATTTTCGAGTTTCACTTTCGATGATTTGTTAAGGGTGATTCATCATATCTACAACGCTATAAATGAAAGGTAGATTTCTGTTAACTGTATATTTAATGTTATAAAAGTTAAATTACTCACCAATTGGCCGCTCCACATGCAAAAGAGGCCATCATAACGTTATAATTATTTAAAAATTTAAGTCTATTTCACCCTTGTCTGTAATAAAAATGGCGATCGGAGCCCATTTGAGTATGATGTCATCAATCCGCGAATATCCAGTACGACTTTGATAGAAAAATGCCAGGGAAAATGCGTCTGGTTAGTCTTACTGCAATAATATAACAACTGAACTGCCCTCTAGTGGTGAGTATAAACTACTGGTCTGCCATTCCAGCAGAGCCTGTTGGTTTCGCTATCCCACAGTTCATTACTTTACCAAGATTCGGTTGTTACATTACACGCTTTGATTTGTTTGAAATTGGCCCACTAATAAGGGACAGGCCTTTTGTAGAAAATTTCTTAGATTACAATGTAAACTTAAATATCAGGAAACAAAATAGATACGAAATTGTAATCTGATTGCAATTAGCCTAAGAAGGAAAAACAATCACTGGTTAAAGTTGATGCAATGTTTCGACGTGTTTCCCCCTAATGTCCTTTAGGCATATTATGATGCATGATATTGATAAACAATAAAAGGCAAAATATTATATTATACATACAATCAGCTTCGGCAGATGGTGATCAGACTTCAAATACCACTAAGAGATATTGCACCAGTTTCTATAAAGGATCGATTGTGGATAGGTGGTTTTTCAATTATATATTTATATTTCTAAGCCTATAATATCAACTAAATTCTATGATCTTCAATTGTAGTCCATGATGATTATATTCTTTATGCGGACGCCCATTGGGTTACTACTCCAGACTGTGACAAGTTTAATAGACCATTCAAATGTACGGACGGCTACGAGTTGGAAGTTCAGAGTTTTGCAGGTATAATTCCTCTTAGGATGACCAAAAAATTGAAATGTTAAAATGAGTCTTTGTTCATCAGTAATTTCACCTGGTCTCAAAACAATACAACAGAATTCCTCTATAATCCAATAAATCCATAAAACTAAATACTAATCTATTAAACTATGTAATTTGGAAACACGTTTAGAAGCGTTTTTCAATAATTGCTCAGTTTAATAGATATTATATCGCCTGGTAGACCTATACAAATTCTATTATTTAGTATGACACATGGTAAGATCAACTGATGCATTATACTCTTATTGACTAAGTTTATGTCCATTCTAAGAGGTAGTATTCCTTAAGTCCAACCTTCTGAACATGTTTCATTCTGATGCCTCGGATTGCATTTGCAATTTGTCTTTAACGACAAAATTATTTCCAGCTTTTAAAGGAATAGGGTGGAGTTTCAACAACATAAAATAACCATGTTGTAGCATACCTAAGCTCCACCTACTTTCCTCTAAGATTCCATTTGATCTATATTAAGTTATCCAAATTGCTGATGGTTTTCCTGTAACACACATTTTAAGCTAATTATTTCTTAAAAATAAGGGAATAATGAAATTTATGTTTATAAGTTATTGATAATAAATTAGTTTATTAATAGAATGAAACATAATATATATTTATACACATACATAATATCTCGTTAAATTCACACCAAAAAAGAATAATATATAAGACAATTTAAGATAAGCAACACTGATATTGAGACCTTTGTCATGTTGGGTACGGTTTTCAAAATTAGCGCCTTCTACCGTCAGCGATTAGTTACAAAATTAAGGGAACCTCTGGTCAAATATCCGAAACTGTCTATAAAGCGCACCACCAGTTTAACAAGGACATATTGGTGTTTAAATAAAACTGCGCATTCTACATGCAAATATACGGTATACAGATATATAAGCGTATTAATAAGATTACCGACCAAATGTTTATTGACACTTAGTTATATTTGTGCATAATTTAATCAATTTAATTCTATATTGAAATAAAAAGCAATAAAAGTTATGTACTTCATATATTACCAATTTTAAACACATCTAACAATATATAGGATAATCTAATCAAAGTTTATACCTCAAGCAAGTTCAGTTTGGATTGCTGCAATTTGACATTTGAAATTATACGCACCGCATGTGTACTTTCCTAAAGCATCTGCTTTTTTCAAACAAATGAAACAGAATTTCTGTCCACAAAGACAAACCATCTGCTTACATGCTTTAATATGCTCAATTAACAGACCACATTTTGGACAACTTCTTACAGAAGGACAATTGGGCACCTCGACTATGGATTTTTTCGGTGCATTGCGAAGAAGCCGTATTCTGGGATCTTCACCAGAACATCCGTGGTTGCCACAATCATGAGTAGTATTTGTAAGCCAAGTTTTCAAACAAAACCAACAAAATTCATACAATTCTTCCTTTTGACGTGTACATATTGGACAGATCACGCGGACAGATTTGGAATCTTTTCGTTCGCAATAAGATTGACAACGTGGACACTCCTGGATTTTAACACCTTTGAAAAGGTAATTTTCTGCAAGTTTGGTTTCGAACTCTTTCTTTTCCTCTTTGGTCAATACGGCCAATTTCTTGATGGTGTAGAACTCCCACAGTCGTCCACAATACGTAGGATCAACGTGTGGACACCGGAACTCATATTTTCCAGCCGTCAACAAACTTCTACAATAAGCTGTTAGAGATTCGGGACCTAAAATATACACAAACAAGATGATGGAGACCTGTTTGCCTTTTCAGTGCTACCATAAAATTTATCAGTTCGCCACTGGATTTTTAAAAAAGACAGAAGAAAAGGAACAACCGATGCTGCGCTATATTGCAAGGATTTCAGTTCATCTGGGAGATTTTCATGGGCGACCTCAGCTTGAATAAATACTGTAGCAGCAAATTCGACTGCTGGAAATGGAAGATAGTTGTTGATTTCTGTAGTTGGCATAAGGAACTTTCCATTCTATTACCCCTTTCGGGAACCTTGATCGCTTATATTATCAATTTTCAGTGGATGCCTTCTCATTCATCGAATGCATCTGAAATATCTTACCTATTGCGTGTCCACAAGGCATCTTTGCTCTCTGTCCATCTTCGTCATCATCAAAGGTGATCATGTCTGGTTCAGATGTTAGTTCAACATCGGGTCCAAGAACTTTTCCACCCGATTCAACGATATCTTCTGATCCACCCAACAATCTCATGACGATGAAAATATTACTGTTGTTCTCTATACTATAATCTGTGAGATACTGGACCTTTTGGTGGGGACTTAGATCTTGCAACTCTTTAGCTGAAATAAAAAATGTTATTAAGCAGTATGTTCACCAAATTGAATTCGAGGAAAAAGTCTCACCTGCCATCTGAGCAAGATAAATTATCAAATTAAATAGTGTAAATTTCTCCCATTACATTTTCCAGATCGGACGCAGGTCCTTCGAATCAGGTGTGGTATTGGATATCGGGGACGACGAAACCGACGGAAAAAGTGGAGAAGAAAATAGGTTGTTAAATATACAGTCAAGTAACCTAATTTCGTGGAAACCTATTTTTCGTGGATTTCCGGAAATGATTAATAATTTACATGAGCGACCTTGCGCGACCTCCGCATTAGTTTGTTTTGATAAACATGGGTTTTCTCTACAATATCAGCTAGTAGAATGAATCAAGTAGTTTCAAGCAAGGTAAAATGTATTAATGTATACTTTGACAAATACAAAATGGCGGATTTCAGTTATAACAAACGTCACTATTTTTTATCCGCCGAATTTCCTTATAATCCCAAGCGGTAATCGGAATTCCAACTGTCGTCTGCTAGAATATATTCCAACGAATGAAGTCACGTGATCAACTAGCCGATTCCGCGTTAGCAGAAAATTTCTATGAAACACAAAGTGGGCCATACTCTTATGTTGTTTCAGTGATTTTTAGCAAAAAATCACGCTACGTATCTTATTTTGTCAGTCGCTATTTTTTTTAATTCGTGGTTCTTTGAAGGAATTTTCAGTAGTTATAATGAATTGATATTAAAGATAAATACTAAGAGAAGTTAATTATACCACCCGGTATCCATACAACATGTTTTTCTCGACTTATTTATAGATCAATCATTGTACACGAAAATAGGTGACGCATTCTGCCGCCGTTGCCGAGTTGGTTGCTCATGAAATATGGGTCAAAGTGAAGGATTCATAAAGAAAATTGAAACAAACCAATTTTAATTATTTTGTAGTATATCTGAGGAAACATCTAAGACATACAATTTTTTTTTTCGTTTCTTTAACTTTGAGGGAATTCGGTGTTGAATCCTTATATCCACGAAAATAGGTTACACCACTGTATATTATGACGATTTGTCAGGATAAAGCCATTAATATTGGGCGTCAGAGAACAGATTGAAAGAATAGAATAGGCGTGCTATTGGTGTTCACATACAACCGTTCATTTACCCTTTCAATTGGGCAAAGACCCTTAAATAAGACGTCCATCTTCCGTGCTGTGCTTATCCCTTCTGATTTCTTGTCAATGTTGGCATAGGCTTCCTTGTTGCATTCGGACAAGCTGGTAGGTATTGTTGGTAGATGACGGTCATGTTAACGCTCGCTTCCAAATTATGCTGATGTTACAGACTAGTTGTCCGAAACATTTGAGGCTATTACAGTCTCATTACTGGATATTTTGTCGGCTGGAGTATTGTATTGTATTAAAAAAAATATACTCTGTTAAATGGGCATTTTTCACATCAAAAAGATGCGTTTTTTACCATAATAGTAATTTACCATTATGACTGTAAATTATTTGGCGTAATCGTAACTTTCGTTTTCCTGGTATCAGGTGACCTTTGAACTTTTGATTGCGCACTCACTTTAAAATGGTCGATGAGTTTCGTTAAAAAAAACTGTGGTGAAGCCGGAGAAATATTCATATTTCCAAATACATCCGGATTTTGCAGATGAGTGGTATTTAAATAGGTTTAAAACCCACGCACCTGCGGAGATGAGGAAATACCCATTTAACAGGGCCCATTTTTTCTGTCTCTAAACCTGCCGACATCTGGGCAAATAGCTATCAGAAGCTGGAACAGAGACAGATGTTTCGGTCTACAACTACAGGTAGTTGTTAGTTTTCTTAGTAGTTGGAATTTGGATCTGGTTGTTTTTTTTTATTTCTAAGGATGTCTTATTTTTTCAATCAATTAGGGAGGCCTTCTAAAGACTATGTTAATGTGCTTCAAATTACTTACATGTATGAATAATTCGTAAATCATCTTCGGGAATGTTTGTCAGTGTCACTACTTTTTGACGTAACTCTTTAATACTTGCATCCTAAAATGTGAAATTTCGCACAAGTGTGAATTAAGTCCAGCAAATACTGTTCGATCATTTCCTGTTATGAGCTCACGTAGATCGCAGTTGGTCAATGGGTCTAATAAAATCTCTCGAATCGCCAAAGGGATTGTAAAGAGGATTTCTCAATTTACTATGTGTATTGGAGACAATGATAGCACTATTTGCACAATTCCAATTTCAATCAGACGTCCGTGTTTCCTGTAATTCTACTAAAACTACGTGTTTGAAGACGTGATCAAAGTGGAACCACATTGTCCATTGCAGGTGCGAATTAATGCTATCAGGGTCCCCGATACACCTAGAAAATTTCGAAAACATCTTTACAATCCCCTTAAACCATCTTAATAATTGATTACCAACCTCTTGTATCCGAATCACCTTTGTCTTCCCCTCTAAACCTTTCATGAAGATTTGAATCGTATTTGCAGGCATCCTGTAAAACATAAAATACATGTAAATAGATAATGTTTGAATCTTCAGGTTGAAGGTAGTTTTCTCGTTCTATCTTTTATTGTATGTTCTTACAAAATAACAAAAAATATAGCTGTTATTAATTCTGCAAGTTTAAAATCATGTGTATTTATTGTTACCTCCCTTGAAATAAATCTTGGCTCTGTCCAACTCTCTAACACCTTCCAAAACGTTGTTACATCCATTCATAGGTGCCCAATTTTTCAAGTTCGATACATTTTTTCATTTGACAATGACTAATTGTTTTGATTTTTGTTTATGTATTATGCAACTCTCGCATAACTCTTGTGTGTGTTCAACTTTTTCTTGCATTCAGCCTAGATTTTAAAGTCCTATCTTATTTACATTACATTGGTTCCAGCAATTCCACTAAAACTAAGCGTTTGATAACGCTCTATCGCAATATCTGCTAGCTCTTTGCGACGTCATAAAACATCCAGTTTTAGTGGAATTGCAGGAACCATAGACATCTGACTGAAAATTGGAATGGTGTAAATCGATGCTAACAATGTCCCGGATACACATAAAAAGTTTAAAAAAAACTTGTACAATCCCTTTAATTAATTGTTTTTTCCACCTATGTATGTGGTTTTTGATGGGTAGACATAATTATTATGTGTATAGCAAGATAATGCATTGAAATTGAAAATAGAAGTAGGCCAAGCCTATTTTTATCCGTAATAAATTGAAATCGAAAATGAAAATAGATTTGGAAAGTAAGATATTGAAGATACAAAGAATTAGATTCAGAAACTAAAAGCGAAATAAGAAATGACTATAGGTTTACACAACTTGGAAAGTAGGAAGTCTAATAGTGAGTTAGGTATATAGGCTTAGTTCTAATCCAAAATCTGCATAACTATCTACATAACGGTGACTTATATCGTAATATATACAATAAAAGAAAATCGAAGAGTACAGGACGAAGGTCTGTTGAGCTACTAGTCAGCCCGAGGTTTTTATATATAGTCGTTACCCGAAAAGATAATATTTTTTGGAGAGAGGGAGAGTCCTGCACGGACACCGTCTCCTACGCCTATGAACACTGAGGGGATCCGTTTTCTGAATCTATTTGGTTATGACATTGAAATATATTTCAGAATGCCCAAAATTACGAAAATAAGCCGAATTTGTAACAAATTTGTCTTAACTGAGTAAAACAAAATTACTGCGATTTCTTCTTTCGATGATTACGAATCTATATGCCTAATTTGACCCCGGAGCCATCCATATAGCCTCAAAACTAAAGCTTACTACTCACCTGTTAAGTCTACGTCTGTGCCTCGAATACGGAAATATTTAGCTTGCGTTTAATTTTGTTAATAGATCAAGTGGAAAAACCAGTTTTTAAAAAGTGTTTTATGACGTAACCCTCGCGAAGGTCATAATAATGTGATACAAGCACATTTCGAGGGGGGTCACGTCATAAAACACATAGTTTTAGTAGAATTGCAGGAACCACAGACATCTGATTGAAAATTGGAATGGTGTAAATTGGTGTTATCATTGTCCCCGATACACATACAAAAATTTAGAAAACCTCTTTATAATCCCTTTAAGTTATTCAAATATGGTACAACAACAAATTGCTGATGGTTTTCCTCGAACAACACACATTTATAGCGAATTATTTCTTAAAAATATCAAGGGATAGATGAAATTTATGTTTATAAGTTATTGATAATAAATTAGTTTATTAATAGAATGAAACATAATATATATTTATACACATACATAATATCTCGTTAAATTCACATCGAAAAAAAATAATTATTATATAAGCATAACCGATATTGAGACATTGATAGACCTTTGTCATGTTGGGTACCTTCTTCAATATTATCACCTTCTACCATCTGCGATTAGTTACAAAATTGTGGGAAGCTGTCTAATGAAGCGCACCGCCAGTTTGGCATAGCCCTTTCATGGTGTTAAAATAATGCGTATTCTACATGCAAATATACGGTATTCAGATATATAAGCGTATTAATAGGATTACCGGCCAAATGTTGTTATGTGACACTTACTTCTTAATACATATTCACACAATTTTAGTTATATTGAAATAAAAAGCAATAAAAGATATGTAATTAATATATATTACCAATGTTCAACACACATTTAATATAACATCAATTGTAAAACAGAAATTTAATATTTCTACACGCTCTACAATTGATGTATTGAGCTTATTTTAACAGTGAGAATTTTTCGTTCTTATTAATATAACAATCTAATCAAAGTTTATACCTCAAGCAAGTTTGGTTTGGATTGCTGCAATTTGACATTTGAAATTATACGCACCGCATGTGTACTTTCCTGAAGCATCTGCTTTTTTCAAACAAATGAAACAGAATTTCTGTCCACAAAGACAAACCATCTGCTTACATGCTTTAATATGCTCAATTAACAGACCACATTTTGGACAACTTCTTACAGAAGGACAATTGGGCACCTCGACTATGGATTTTTTCGGTGCATTGCGAAGAAGCCGTATTCTGGGATCTTCACCAGAACATCCGTGGTTGCCACAATCATGAGTAGTATTTGTAAGCCAAGTTTTCAAACAAAACCAACAAAATTCATACAATTCTTCCTTTTGACGTGTACATATTGGACAGATCACGCGGACAGATTTGGAATCTTTTCGTTCGCAATAAGATTGACAACGTGGACACTCCTGGATTTTAACACCTTTGAAAAGGTAATTTTCTGCAAGTTTGGTTTCGAACTCTTTCTTTTCCTCTTTGGTCAATACGGCCAATTTCTTGATGGTGTAGACTCCCACAGTCGTCCACAATACGTAGGATCAACGTGTGGACACCGGAACTCATATTTTCCAGCCGTCAACAACTTCTACAATAAGCTGTAG